GTTATCACAAATTTTACCCATGAGGGCAAACAATTTTATATATTTCGGTAAAAATTATTCTATTTTCATGTTTACCACGTGAATAGTTTTTGTTACTTTTTAGATTTTTACTTCCCGAGCGTAAGCGAAGGAAATTGTAATAGCGTCCATCCGACAAATGGCTGCTTTCATGTTTTCTCTACGTTTCATGACCCTAGAGTACGAAAAAATAAATCCCTGTTTTCGTCTGTATTATTTGTTTATTTGTCTGTCATCTTGGTCGATTTTTACGAGACAGATAATTTCCGAAAATACCGATTATTGTCAAATTTTGTATAATACATTAGTAATCATGTAAATAGTAAAACGATAACCAAAATTTGGCTAATCATGAGTACCTTTTCTCTAAGTGAAACACAAAATGGGATTTGACATAAAAACGAGTTACCTCTCTGCGTTAGTGAAACGAAGTAGATCAATTTGATCTCATAAGGGCGCCAGCAAGAGCAGGTAACCGTTACCGGCCTTGTACGAGTACTAATTTAATAATGAGCACTTGGCAATAACTGATGAATATCAAACACTAACGATTAAACTACTAATCAAATTACCTCTGCTACTACGACATATGGAGCCTAGCTGACTTTCAACAGTTACTTATTTTTCCTTTTTTAAGATACTACTTCACACGCATAAGCTAAGGAAGTATTGTAATCGACTCTGTGGACGACTTTCTACTTTCTTATCTTCTCGATGATCTCCAGTTTCCGTCTGTCCATTTGTCTTTTCTGTTTGCCTGTCTGTCTATCTGTATCAATTTTTGTTCGCAAAATATATTTATTTATCCCTCCAAAAATTGATGACGTCATCTCAAAATGGTACAGAATATAGTTACACCAAAGATATATTGAAATTTTCAGCTAGCAAAATTTTATTTATTATTATTAAATATTTTAAATTCTATCAACGGCAGAGTTGTGGAGTATGGTTTAAAATAATTTTTGTAATGAAGAACTACTTGGCAACGATCTTTATCTTTGAGGTAAAAATTTTTAAACTCGAGCGACGACTCAGATGCGGCATAATAATTGATATAATTAATTGATTAATAAAATTCTGAGTGACAAAATGAACTAAGTATCAACTGATTTTATTCTTTAACAATAATTTCTAATTTTTTCAAGTTATTTTTAATTTCAGTCTAGACCAATTCCGCCACTTCAGTTCGGACTATGTTTCTCATGTCCGTCTTCATATATTATGTCTCCATATTTGACAAGACGGTAAATAATGTAGATTTCTCCTGTTTTATGACTCCTTCTGCTTCATTGTGGACCGGTGTTAACAATTAATCAATCTGTGAAAATAATCATATATATACAATGCGTTTCAAATAAAATGCACCACCTAGAAGAAGTAGACGTAGAATGTTAAAACTTAGTGCCAGTTGTTTAGATAATATACGGGTGTTATTCGATTTTTATTATATTTTAAACATACTTAATTATGATTCTTTTGCAATTTTACTTGACATTTGTCATTATTGTGCTTGAAAAAATGCCACGAGTTCGCAAACGAGGAAAAAATTCAAAAATTTTAAATTAAATGGAAAGTACTGTATTCAGGAATTTAAATGTATTCAGTGACGAATATCCAAAATTTCGAAAAAGTGTTCAAATCTTAATCAACAAGTTAATTACTTAAAAATTATTATTTTTGTTCTTGCGTTTATTATAGTCATTGTTATTATCCTTTTCTTAATTTATTACTTGAACAATAATAAAAAAAGCGATTTATTCATTCAACAATGTCCATGAAGTAATACGTGCATCTGTAGAATTGGGTAAAAGGTGCCTTTTATCATCTTTCCAACCTAGAGACTTCTTCTTTGCGTCTTGAGTAAAAATATCATGTTTATGTTTCTCTTTGATTAAATAAGCAATTTTTGTAATCTTCAAAACCTATTCGTTTTTTAATACTGCTTTCTTAATACCTTCTAATTTTTTCGAAATAGAATTTTCGATTGTGTAACTGTACATTTTTGATCTTAAACCTATGTACTCTAATATCTTTAAATTTTCCTATTACTTTCTCATTTTTATCAGAGAATATAATGGGTGATCTTTTGGATAATCAGATATATCAAAATAGCCGGGATTGTTGTTATCCTGGTACCATCCCTCCTTGATTTGGTGTTGTTTTTCCTTTTCATTGCTTGCGACAAATGGCTTGGTCCAGAAATAAAAAACCATTTAGAATACCTAAAAACAACGGATTTTGTAAGTTTTTAGAGTGCTCTTGAGATAATTTTGCACGATTTTGGCTGATTTTTAACGGTTTTTTGTGGCCAATTTTTGGCGGTCTACAAATATTTGGGTACTTTTGAGATGCATAAAAATTAGTGCTTTTTGAGAGGTCTTAGGCCTTTTTCGGTTGTTTGCTTTCCTGGCAAACAGCTGAACTTTTAGGATTCTACACTGTTTTTAAGACACTAAATATCCTGGTCCAGAAATAACATTTTAAAAACAAACGCAAAACACAAAAAATGATGTATAGATAGAGAAAACAAATGGAAGAAATAAAACTACAATGTCAGCCACAATATAGAAGAGGAAAAAAACCTAGAGCCACAATTCAAAAAGATGTGTAAAACAAAGAGTTGGAAGAAAATCAGTGGAAGGATAGATTGTATTTTAGGAATATCGCATAGATGGTAAGACTGACTAAATTATCATCTCCAAATTTTGTCTTTGTAAAATGTGCAGACTAATATATATTTCTATACCAATCATTATTGTACTCAACGGAGCGAACCCCAGAACTGAATACAAAAGTACAAATACAAAATACAAAACACAAAATCTAAACATTATTCTCCAGTAATAAAACGAAATAAAATAATGGATCTTCATTCTAAAGCACAAAAAAATTCACAATATCAATTACCATTATATCAATTTATTTTTAATTCACCTCTATTTCTAAATTTAAGCATGTCACTTAAAAACGACAAAATGAACTGCGCTGTAAATCGCCTTCACTTTAAATCCACCAATGAAATTATTCGGATTTTGTCTTAACAACCAATCAGAGTTTGATTTAAGTGAAAATTGCACGTCGTTTTTTTGAGACCAAAAAAATATAGAACAGGATGATACCCATTGGAAAAGGAAGAAAATATAACAAAAATAAAAGGAAAAATAATTTTCGGGCGATCTGAGGTCAGAAAGTGGAACGAGGTGAGCTTTTAAGGGTAGAAAACGGTTTATCACGATTTCCGGCAAAACTACAAGTCCTATCGAAAAAAGTTGAATAGCAAAGTACTAGGTAATAAAAAGATCTACAACTTTTGTATCTACACTTTTTTCACATAACCTCAAAAATTATGCGAAAAATCCAAATAATCGAGTTTTTGGTTTTTTATTTTTATCTCTCACAAAAAATCTTTTTTCACGAAATTTGGTGAAAACTTACTTGTGTCCCAAACTCACTGTATTTTTTTTTTTTCAAAATATTTATTTTTCCCCTTATTTTGATTTAAAATCGAAAAAACGTCCTAATTTTCAATCGAAAATTTTCACGCCAAAATATCTGCTTTTTTAAAAAATAGGTGTACTTTTTGTTCGTTGAAATCTCTACTTTCTGACGGTGTGAAAAAAATATACATTATTTTGGCAAATTTTCACAGGAAATGCAAAATACGAAAAAACTCGAATTCAATTGTTTTTTAAATAAATATTATGTAAAATTTGGAGCTATTTGTTAAAATGTATACTTTAATTATTCGAAAAAAGTAAGGTTTCATGTTATAAACTAAAAAATTGCGAATCGAAATGTGCTACTATAATTAACAACCAAATAAGTTGATAAACTTAATACTTTATAAGACATCTACAATATTTTGAGAAAGTTGTAGGATATTTTTTAATTAAATGCGTAGCTGCCTATTTATTGCTATTTTAAGATAACTTATATACTTGAATGGCCTATGGAAAATTTCAAATTTCGTGAAAAATTTTTTTTTTGTGGGAGATTAAAATAAAAAATCAAAAATCGGTTATTTACATTTTTCGGATAAATTTTGAGGTTATGTAAAAAAAAAGTATAAATACAAAAGTTGTAGATCTTTTATTATCTACAACTTTGCCAATTAACTTTTTTCGATAGGACTTGTAGTTTTGCCGGAAATAATGATAAACCATTTTTTACCCTTAAAAGCTCACCCCCTTCCACTTCCCAACCTCAGATCGCCCGTAAATTATGTTTTCTTTTCCAAGAGACATCATCCTGTTCTAATTTTTTTTTCACTTTTTACCAACAAAAGTCGAGTAAAAATCAGTCAGAAATTCAAGCAAAATACCGGAACAGATTTCCGGTAGGATGCGTCGTATATTTTCGTGCAGGCAGAAAATTCAAGCTTTGTTTGTATTCAGGAAATATTTGCCGAGCATTTTTGAGGAAGCACCGATTCGCTTGTTGGATTCAGTAGCAAGTAGGACATACATTTTTCTTATAGCGCCTTAGAAATTCTATGGTAAATTATTTTATAGTATCTTGGTATGTGTTGGCACTTTTATGTTCGCCACCGCCTCTACATATGTATATTTTATTTCCTGTATTTCAAAACGCTTCATTATAAGTCCTATTAGATAAGAGTCGTGTAGGAAACTGATTAAATAAAACTACAATATGTATAAATGGTATACTGATGTTCGTGTTGCCCCGAATTAGAAAACTAACAAGTCCTAAAACAAAACCTGCAAAAATTTCACCACATATATTAGAGTTCCATAACAATGCAGTTCTAATCTTGAGTTGGTTTATTATTTATGATGACCAGATTCAAAATCCCTTGATTCAGCAGATTCGTCTATTAACACTTACTTCAGCTTTCAAGTTTTGACAATACTTTTTACTTTCTGGATACCATCACACTCTTTCCAACCCCACCGCTCTCTTTGTTTGCAAACACGCGTCGTCGGTCCCCTTCCAGGGTCATGATCACCATCACAACAATCGTGACGGCTTCCGGGCACAATCCTAGTTCCGTACACGTTCTCCGCTTTCTCCAGCATTTCCTCTGTGCGCCGCAAGAACCACCGGTACGTACTGTCTCAATTTTACCAGACTTCCTGCAATTAACGCTATATGCTCATCCTTGGTACAAAGAAACCGCAGTCTGATCAAAATTACATAATTTCTACGATGTGAGATTAGAAAGTAACGCAGCTACTTAACGCAAAGCAATTTTTATTCGGTGCGCTCGAGTGGTGGAGAAAGTAAATGTTTTAAACAATGTTGCCGGAGTCCCGATGCAGAGTGAGTGCGCCGTCGGTGGTACTTGGTCAAAACACGCTCGAGTGCGTTATATAATAACACTTCGGGAGGCTCACGTGTTAGAAGAAGTGCAGTTAAGTGTCGTACGTGAAGTGGAGAGGTGTATCGAGTGCTGGCGAAGAGAATATACATGTGAGTACCACTTTTCCTTTGGTGGCAGGTGAGAATTGCTCAATTCGTCGGCCGTTGCACAAAAGAATCCACGGCCAGGGTCAGCGTGGTGTAATAATGAGCATAGTTTTGATGAGCTGATTGAAAATAAATGCTTTTTTTATAGAAGTACTGTAGCAGTATCTACAGTCAAAAACGTTTACATTTTATAAATTTGTAAGTTGAGCGAGCGTTCTTTTTGTACCAAATAGGAACAATTAGCATTCTTTGGTACATATACTCTTATATTTAAATCGTTTATGTTTGTTAATCTTGGTACAAATTCATCTTTTTTCATTTTATATAGAAGAATCAGTTTATTTCGTTAATTTAATATTTTTAAAATCTGTGTTATTTTGGGTCAGTGGTGACTTGATTAACATACAATAAATTGGGTAAATGTAACTTTATGTATGTAAATAGTGTTACATGCATAACCAAGTTTCACCATACATTTTATTTGTGGATTTCTTCTGGCTTCAGATCATACTATGCAGTTCGTAAAGAGAAATCAATAGAAAACTTATCCGATCATTATTAGCTAACAGTTTGCAATATTATGGTTTTAATAGAAGTTTGATTTGGGTGTCTACTCTCATACTACTATAGTACTAGAAATTAAGAAAACAGCAATTTTCTTTCATTAGTAGTATTAATTTATTATTTGCCTTACAGGATTAATAAGATTCCCAGTAGGGGTACAAATTAACTTAATCTACATAATCCAAATAAATCAATAAAATAAATATTCGAGTTTTACATAATAATAATTGTTCTATTCTTTCTGCCTTAGTTCCCTTATCTTCCGTACTTCTTTCATCCAGTCCCGTCCTCTTCCATCCTCGTTTAGCACTTCTTCCCTACTTTCCTTCGATTCTCTCAATCCTCCACATCCTTCCAGCTGTATTGCTTCTCCCTCTTTCCAACATATCCTACATCTTCTGTCAATTTCATCCATCCAAATATTATTCTCTTCTCTTCATTTTCACATCTAAATCTCGCCATCATTCTTTTCTCCTTTATATTCTCTCTCTCTGTGTGTGTACTTTGGTACTTCATATTTTACTATTTTTCTATACTCTGCATTATATCTACACTCCAATATTCTCGGTCTGCTTATCTATATCCTTATCTCTTACACTCAGTTCTTCTTTCATACTTCTTCCGATTTCTCTCATTCTCTTTGTTTCTTCACATGCATATCCTTTTCCTTCGTAATACTTGCCTCTTTCGCTCTAGATATGTTTTTCCCATTCCTTTGTAATTTATTTCCAACATTCTTGCAATATTTTACAATCACCTCTCTCACTAAACTTCTCTTTATATCCAACTGCCCTTTTACCCGCTTCCACTCTCATTTTCTCCCTTTTTGTTTCTTCCCTCACTATACACCCCGGAGTATACTTTTCCAATCCCAATGTCCATTTTAAGTATTTTTCTTGCACTCTCTCTATTTCTTCACATTCCCTCCATCCCCACATCTCAGCTCCGTATATAAATACACTTTTGAACAAACTATCAAATTCTTTCTTCTCTTATGATCATGTCTAAATTTTCTCTCTCCTCTCACTCGCTCTCTATTCCGTTCACTTTTATTATTATAAGGAATAGCAAATTTATCACAATTGTGATCGGGACTTTATTTTAGTTACATATAGTTTTATCTGCAAAAAACGTTAAATAGGTTTTTAGTTTCTTTTTGGGAAAAGAAGACTTCGTGTGTTGAGAAAAAATGTATAAAATATAGCCCCGCCCACCCACCCTCTCTCAATTGTGATGACTTTCTTTATTCATCGTGAGCCGAGGGCGGAGCTTAGTTGCAAAATCCTCATTTTTCTGCAAGAAATCACCATGTAAAATATGTTCTTAAAAGGGTAAAATTTTGTAAAGAAATACGGATTTTGCAGTTAAACTTCGCCGCTCGGTCTGACATCGAATAAAAAAAATCATTACAACTGAGATTGGGTGGGTGGGTGGGGCTTATATTTTGCCTCTTTTTCGTAATTTACGTAGCCTTTTTTCATCACAGGAAACTTAAAATATGTTCAAAAGTTTTGTAGGGAAATATGTATTTTGCAATTACGCTCCGCCCCTCGGTTTGACAACGAATAAAAAATTCATGACAATTGAGATCATAACTTTTTTTAGTTACATATAGTTTTATTTGCAAAAAACGTTAAATTAGTTTTTAGTTTCTTGTTGGGAAAGGAAGATTTCGTATGGTAAGAAAAAATGTATAAAATATAAGCCCTCTTACTTACTGTTTCTTCATTTATTTCATCCATTTTCATTACCAGGTACGCATCTACTTCCTTTCTCTTTAAATACTCCCACATTTTCTCTCTATTCACGCTATCAAATGTTGCTTTTAAATCTATGAACAATGAGTACATTAGCCCACCCTCTTTCCTTATTTCTCCATACTTCTTCTTCTGTTTTCAAGAACTTTATTGTCTTCTCTTCTTCTTCTCGTTTTTCTCTTTTTCTTTCTTCACATTTTTTCCTATAATTCTCTCTTGTTTTTAAGTACTCTTCTTTCCTTACCCTGTTATTCTTCCATTTTCTTAATTTTTGCCTTGATTTTCTCTACAACTCACCACATTCTCCGTTCCACCCATTATTCTCCTTTGCCATATGTATATGTTTCTTGTTTCCGTAGCTTCTACAATTAAGTTGATCAGTTCTACTATAATAGCTTCTATATCTTCTTTTACTTCGAATTTCTTTTTCTCTCGTCTACTTCTGTATCTTTGAATTCAGTCTTCATCCCATATTCTTTTTTCTATTTCTTTTCTTTCGTTTCTTCTCTCTTGTTTTTCGTACTGTTACTTTTTTCCTTTGATTTTTATTTCTAGTAGCATGGGGTCTGATTCTACCCTTTCCCCCACTATGAAACTCTCTATTTCTTCCCACGCTTCTTCGTTGACAATCCCATAGTCTATAATTAATTCTCCCTTAGCCCCTACGTACGTCCATTCTCCTTCTTCATCTCCTTCCTTGTTTCCATCCAAAATTTCCCATCCTATTTCTTCTATTTATCTTCCACAATATTTTCCCTTCTTTGTTATTTGCTTTGTCTTTTGATCTTCTTTTCTCTCCCCTTTTTTATCTATTATTCTTGTCCCCTTATCGCCCGGTCTTGCGTTAAAATCCCCTCCTATAAGTATTTTTTCATCTCCTTTTTCTATTGTTTCCTTTTCTATGTTTATCTTGGTTTCCTCCATTTTCTTGCTATAAACGATTATTATTTCCCATCGATTGTTATCCAGTTGTATTACTTTCTTCATTAGTTCGTTTTTATTATTACTTCCCTTTTCCAATTCTTGCATTTCTTTTCGAATTCCCATTACTATTCCCCCGCTTGCTCTTCCCTTTTTCTTTTCCTTTGTCGCCCCTTGACACTCCCACACATATTCTTGTGGTAGTGTTTCTTCAAATTTCTTCCAGTTTTCTCTTTGTACCCATATCTCTACTAGCCCCACCACATCAAATTTTCCCACGTAGTCCCAGAACTCCTTTTCCTTTTTTCGCAGCCTTTGGACATTCCAAAATAGTACTTTCACCTCTTTTTCTCCTTAATTTTGTACCAGCTTCCTGCATCCTTTATTCCTTTTCATTTGTCTTGTTTCCTTCCATTTTTCCTCTTTTTCTTCCTTTTCTTTTGGCTCTTTCCTAAAAATTCTCTACCTTCTCCAGTCTACAGTCTTCTTCATTCCATTTAAAATTTCTGCCATCTACTTTTTATATCCCATTCTAACCATTTTTCCTTTATTTCTCTCTTTTGTTGCTTCTTCTTTTATTTTGATTTGAATTTTTCTTTCCGTTTTCGTCAGATCATCATTTATGTAAATTGATGACCCTTTTAATTTCTTCTTGCATTTCATTACATTTATTTTTTCTTCTCCATTTTCACTACATAAACTTTCTCTGAAATTTTGTACGAATTTTTAACTTTACTCTCTACTTTGGCTTTCTCTTCTAAAAATTTTGTCACCTTTTCCATTATTTGCTTCTGCTCTCCTGTTCCTATTTCCAGGCCCATCATCACTACTTTATTCATTGTCTTTTCTCTCTCCATTCGATCTAGTTGACTTTCTACTTCACCCACTCTCTTTCCCATTTCTTCCTTAGCTCTATTCCATTCTTCATACTTATCTCTAATTTCTTGATTTTACTCCTGTTGTTGATCTCTTGCTTCCTTTAATTCTTCTCCTATTGTTTTAAGCTCCTCTTTAAGCTGTATATTCCATTCCTTCAATAATTGTTGATTACTTTCTCTCATATCATCTCTGATTTGTATCGCAAGTTCGCTGATCATCTTCTTGACCTCCTCCATCTCTATATCTTAAGTTCCAAATGCCCAGTCTTCGAGAATTTTCTCTCTTTTTTATTCCCACTTAATGCAATGGAATGACTGTTTTTAATCCCTAGGGAGTTAAAAAACATTAACTCCCGCTTCATAAAAAGACAAGTAGCAACTCGTAAACAACAGGTATTTAATTCCTCGGTACATTACATACTATTAATACTACATACTTTTGCTGCATAAGTAAATATTAACGTTACTAAATCGTTCAATTTTAGGAGGTAGATATCTCATTAATTATTTATTGTTAGTGATAGAAAAAAAAGTTAAAAACTTAATTTATATAGTTTTTGTCAACAAGTTTTCAATCAGATGATATCTCTAGACTAATTACAAAGTGAAAACAGTGACACAGAAAACTTTTTAATATAGAACGCGATTCAATTATACCAAAAAAATTAAGAATAAAGTACGAGGTCATACATACTACAATTAAAAACTGGTGTGACGAAAAACATGTCAAGCACAATAAAATCTGAAAAAGCTTTAGTAGCATATTTTGCTCAACAAAGATTGAGAGGTCAAATGAGAGTTGTTTGAAACAAAAACAGTTTGCATTCAATAATTATTCCGTAAATTTCAGAGTTAATTATTTAATTATATTTTTAAATAATAC